GTTGAATTAAGGGCTAATAAAAGTTGGTTTAGGGGGTATTATCATTTATAAAGAAGAGTTAATTAACAGATGAGATTTCATAATCGTGAATAGCATGTGCGAAAAGCATATGAGCCATATATGAAATAATAGTGCATTTCGCGGTGGCGATATCTAATTCCAAAACCAAGCACGAAATGATTCCATATTTCATAAAGTTGATTTGTAATCTTTCCTTAAAAGGGAATGGCGCAATTAAAGGGGTATTTAATTTGTGTGGTTTTAGGATAATGATTCCTTTAAGATGATAGCAAGAAATGGTCCCTTCAAAGTCATCAGCTAGAAGGCACAAGAGAGGGATAGATATAGCTACTACTTAGCTATATATTGTGTGTGAGGGAGACTCTGTTGTCTGTTAGTTTAACCTCAAGGTTATGGAATATGCTTAATTATTTTAACTGTGTCTTATCATTAACCCCACCTTCAGAAAATGACGCCCATGCGTGCTCACAAATATCTTCAAGACCCTTTTCGACAGATTATAATTTTAATCAATTAACAAAGAAATCATCTTAATTTCTCGATCAGAAATAATTATTTTTAATCCTTCAGCTTTCTTTCATATATATGTACCATCCCCAAACAAGCTTTCTGTGATTGGTTGCTGATTTGAAAATTCTTTTGAATCTGTATTTAAAGCTAGTGACAACCACTAGTAGTGGTGCCTCTCTCTCTCTCTCTCTCTCTCTCTCTCTGTGATATATATGTTAGCCGCATGTCACGTTCATTAGGTTAAACAGTGAAGGGTGTGAAACTTTCTGCAGATGAGGCCACTTCTAAACTATATATATCTGTGAGGAGTTTACGGATTTGGGTTGACGGTGGTGACGAGAGGGATAATAAAGAGATAAGGTATACCTAGAAGGGAAATCATAACAAGACAAGCCAAGATCTTTAACAATAAAAACCTGGAAAAAATATGACAAATTTATTTTTGTATTTCTCCGGTGAAGGTGAATCAACTTATTGCTCAAGCATGGAAAACGTGTGGGCCAGCAAGAAATTCATTTAATTAACATAAAAGATACGAGAGATATACACAGGGAGCAGGAAGGATTGATGATGATATTAATGTTAAGCATATATGCAATTAAAAAGGCTTGATAATTATTTATTTATTTTTATTCCAAAATATTGTAGAAACCGAACACTGAATATAAAACACAGGTTGTAAGATGTCTCCCAAAAATCGAAATCAGAAATCAGAAATAAGAACATAAATGAGATCAAATTACTGCACGACGCCTATATTGATATATGCCAGCGCCGTTATGTGGTGGTAATTATTACACAACAAACGAATAAATATTCCATATTTATATCAGAAAGTTTATGAATCCAAATATGTTCTATAGAGAACATTAAGAATATAATTTGCACCAATAGAGTTCACCAGTATATAGGATCTCTGTACAAATTAAACTTCTCCATTGTATTTGAATCCTAAGGAGAAGTATATAAATGACAGCCCATTCCTCTTGGTTTTGGTTTTCAAACTTGTTTTTACTGTTGAAGTTTTGTACATGGAGATGCATAAAACCCTCAATATATTTCTTTACAAATATGTATATCAATAAAACAACCAAATATACCTATATGTAAATCTGCATAATCAAAGCTATATATATAATTCTGCCCAATTATAAAAACAATATCCACGGCCTGACCTTATGGTGCAATAGTATACTCCAGCTTGCAGCTACATCACCAATTGTTGAAGAAGACTAATGTCAATCAATCTCTGAGATCGTCAAACTGATTGCTTCCTTCCAAACTCCTAAAACAAACCCAAATCTCAGTAACCCCATTAAGCAATTCTCCAAATCGCTTTACATTCGCAATCATATGTACCATTACGAGCTTCATTAATCTTTCAGCTCTCTTAAGCATACCAATGCATTCCAGGAATTTGATACTGTGTCCGAAACATTCCATCTCCCACAGATCCCACCATTGAAGGAGTCTGTGGAAGCTGGTTTAGCAGAGAAGCAATGGAACTAGCTCCAGCAGTAGTAACCCCGCCACCTCCGCCGCCGCCACTGCACCCGCCATTCTCATTATTGTCAAAGCTCAATCTTTTCGAGGAGCTTCCGGCCAAATCCTCATCCGGGTTCCAATACAGCGATGGGAGTGTTCGTTTAGAAGGCAGGGTTGTAACAGAAGTAGTAAGGTTTGAAGAGGCCATAGGAGGGACCAGACTAGGAAGGTCAGTGTTCATTCCATTGTTGTTGTTGGCGGCGACAACCCCTTCGAGTAGGTTATGATCGTTGTTAGGGTCTAAAAACAATGATCCTCCTCCGGCGCCGTAGGTTGTCGACATCTTAGAAAGATGGAATCTGGCGTTCATCTGTCCAACGTGGATCGAAGGAGGAACCCCTCCAATCATATCGTCCACCGATGAATCGTCATGGTCCATAGGCGATCTGTGTGTGTTGCTCTTCTTGTATATTCGGCACAGCACCCAGTCATCTAGCTATAAACATAAAACAAGAATCACATAACAAATCACCCATCAAAAACCAGAACTAACAAAAAAGCGCGCGCACATGCACACACATATGAGAGTCAAGCTTTCAAGATAATTGTGATCAGGAGAAAAAAGAAAGAAAGAAAAAACCACAAGAATAGGTGGAGAAGGTCGTATGCTGAAAACTGAAACAGAACTAGAAAGCATATAGAGAGAGGATCCACCTGCAGCCTTGTGAAATCAGGCATATTAAGATCAGGGATAGAGACCCTATGAGTTTAGATGCAGTTTGAGGTCTGTGATTTCTGAGATGAATGAGAAAGACGCAATAGATTTGAGAGAGGAGGATGATTACCCGGAGAGAGTTTTTCTTGTTGCCCAAGTCACACCCAGGAGGTTTATTGTTAGGCTTATTATCAGCAAGCCTATATTCATGCATGATCCAGTTGGTTTTGATCCCTCTCGGCGGTTTCCCTCCATAGAAAACTAAAGCTTTCTTCACCCCAACCTTCTGGTTTCCATTAGCTGTCAACACGGGCTTATCAGTTCCGGTAGCCTTCCAATACCCAGATGTCGCTGCCCTGTTTGGCCTAGCTCCGTTGGGGTACTTCCTATCCCTCGGGCTAAAAAAGTACCATTCCTGCTCTCCAAACGCTGCCTTGGCTGTCAAAAAATCACGCAAATGAAAAAAGTAAATAAATAAAAGGCAAGGTAAAAAAAAAAACATATCAGTCTACACCAATCAGAATTCAATCGTCAATTCAATCAAACCCAGAAAACATTGATGTTGTTAAAAATCAAATCACATCATCACTTCAGATATTCGACGTATCAGAAAGAATTTAATATTTAATATTTATTTAAATATTATCGTGTACCCTATTGCGTCCTGTATCAATTGTTACTACTGATAAGAATTGGGCGTACCTGGGAGTTCCCACGGATCGAACTTGTAGAGATCAACCTCGGCGATGATCGCGACGGGCAGAGGAGCCGAGGAGGCCTTCTTCTTGAGGTAGTGAACCACGAGCTCTTCGTCGGTCGGATGGAACCGGAAACCCGGCGGAAGATTCGGCTGCTGCGAACCGGTGGACGATTCGGTGCTCTCCATGGGGTTTTGCTTGTGGCCTTCACTGACTCGCGTTCGAGCGGTTACGACTGAAGGTGTGGCTATGGCGACCAGAGACGACCATATTAAAGAGAGAAAAAGAAATGTTTATTTACTCTCACAATATCACTCTCCCCAAGAACTGAAGCCAATTCTTATATGAGGGTGTGAGATAGAGAGTAATCTAGTACAGACGCGCCCACATGTACCTCGTCGGGTGTTGCTTGATGCGCCAGAAGGGAATGGTGTTTTGGTCTTTTCACGAGTGGGTCAGCGATGTGTTTGACCGTAGGACGAGATTAATTGTAAGGTGGCTGAGGAGATGGCTGCGGGTGCAACGGAGGAGGGTGGGGTAGCTGACGGTGACGCAAGCTGGGAACGAGTTGGAGGAGAGGTCGACACGTGTAATTCGAATTGTCGAGAGATTGACACGTGGCGGGCATGGGTGGGACCCACAGAAGAGAACAAAAAGATACCCCGCATTTTCTCTTCATTTCTTTCTTGTTTTTCTGAAATTCTAAATGGGTAATAATAATATTTTTGTTTTTTGGCTCCGTGGGAAAACAAAAGAAAATAACAAAAAGATGGAGGGACAAATTAGGGTGAGGTGATAGGGTGGGGACGAATAACAAAAATCCAATTTTCATGATAAAAAAGATGGTCCCACGGGCCCACTTTCCACTATGGTGAACGGTTAAGCACATCATTAATTCATAATCGGAGTTATGTGGCCGCTTATATGAGTTAAGAATCTTCCTTTGACTAAATCAGGATTTTTTTTTTCAAATTTTTTTCATTATTTAATAGCTAAAAATCATCAACTATAATCCACTTTTAATCAGGTCCAAAAAAAAATGCTTCGCTTTTAACTCTTCTTTGTTTTTCTAATCAAATATATGCTACACATTTCTTTCCTCCCTCTCGCTTATAATTTTACATTTTTGTAATTTATTTTTTCAAGAAAACAATTTTTTTTTGCATATATTCAAATCAATAAGATGCTTAATATATTGAAGTGTCAATAAGGTAGATATAAGGATTTTTTAACAAAAAAAAAAGAGGTACTAGTCATAATTCAACCGAATAGATATTTAAATTACTCTTTCCATTTTAAAGTTTGCAAATTGAGAGCAAGCCTTCACGATATTGGAGTATATGGAGACTAAGAAGGGTATATATATTTATTAACACTTAAACTTCTTTTACAGATGTAATTAATATTTAATATTAGCTCAAAAGAGTTCAATTTATAATCTCTCTGTATTCTATGAAAAAAGAAAAAAAATCATGCTTAATTTACAAAATAAATATAAAATATCGTATGACATATGAAGACAATTATTAATATATCCTTCTCGAAATAAAATCTAACAACAAAATTTCAGAGGTCATTGTTTAATGGGAGAATTACATTCAAGTTCCACATAAGAGAAATAATCACTACAAAGTCCCAAATAACAACTTGAGCAGCCTGTAATAACAAGTCCTACAGTGAGAATGACAACCTCTAGAACTTGTTTTTTAATTACGTGGGACTCATGTAATTCTCCTTGTTTAATTGAGTTTGGAGATTATGACAAGTGACTTGTTTCCATTATTTTATTTCCATCTCTATACATGGCCCTAATCTAATGAAATAGCCTATGCCCCAATTGACTTATATTCAACACTAAAGAATAATACAATCCACTTTCTTATAATTAGTACTAAATGAGAAGGCGTTTGAGTTGGAAAATCAGTACATTTGAATAATTTTTACTTTTCAACTCTGTGAATTTCAAGCTTACATTTCTTGAAGTAAATTTCCCCGGTTAGTTCAAACTGGAATTTAATCAAACATCGAAATTAAAATCAACGTATAGGAGTTACTCAACCAACTTTTATTTAGAGTTCTTTAGTTTCATTAATTTCCTAATACTGGTCTAGTTTCACCGGTAGGAGTAATTTCTGTTGGGACAAAGAAAAGTCTTACCGTAAGAGATTTATATTAAAACACTGAAAGTAATCACTTGACCCAAAAGAAAAAGGACAAAAAAGAATGATAATTAAATATTAAATTGGTCTGTACTAAATTTAGGGAATTTTTGTTGTTGAATTCAATCTTATTTTAGGCATGAAATTTTAGCTAATTTTTTAGGTCATATACTTATTCGTGAAATATCGAAGAAAAAGAAAAGGAAATGAAAGAAATATGAGGCCTATAGATGCGTGAGAAAATAATGGTCCAAATCAGAACGGGTGGAGGATAATAAAATGAAGATAAAGGGATAAATAATGAAGCACGAGTGTGGGGTCCACATGTTAGCTCGCTGGTGAACCAGGGGGTCCCATTGGAAGTCACTTCCTATGACTCCTTTTACATCATTCAAGTCCAGCGATCAAAATTGTGAAACCCTAGACTCACATTAATTTCCCCATCACCAAAATTATTTCAATTATTGCAAGATATTCTTCTGGTTATATTTATGGGACAGAAAGAAGAAGAATTTTTTTACCCTATTTATAAAATAAAAGGAAAAAATTTGGATATAATTTTATTTTTTATTTATTATTATATTGACTTTATTCTCATGAGATATAATACATATTAAATAGAGATAAAATTAAAAAGTTAATGAATTTTAAATAAGAACTAATGAAGTTTAAATTTTTTCTTAATCTATGTGAAATATGTGAGAGTGACTTATAAATGGAATTATAAAAATATGAATGACATGTTATATAAATGTACATTATACATGTTATAAAAGAGGTTAAAGTGTACATTTATCCTAAAAAAATCTTACTGAAAAATATTGAGTGTTTGAAAGTTTTTTTTAGGTTCAACGTTACTTTAAAAACTTAAAACTATAGCAATGTTATGCTTTACCATTCAAAACTAATAGTAATTGTTAAATTATCAATATTAATCATTAACCTCTTAACGGCGGGATCAAATTGTTATGATTTTAAGTTTTCAGATAGATTTATACCTTAATCTTATTATCTATAGTAACCATACAGTAATTAAATTTAAATAAAAATGACAAAGCGTGTTTTCACCATGCAAGTAATTAAATTATCAATATTTATAAAAAAAACAAATAACTAAATTACATGAATTGAAGAAGCATAGTTAAAAATTAATAGACATGTTTGAGATTTGATTATATATCAATGACGCTAACAATAGAAAAATTTTCAATTAATGCAGAGGACAATAAGTACTACACCCATCCTATTTATAATGTGGAGAGAGATTATTTTCTTTGATTTTAATATATACTCGTACTTAATATGGTCACCTCAATAAGCTTAATAGTTCTTGAATTTCTTAGTTCTCACTCATTTCTTTGGACCCTCTGTCGCAGTCCCTGTTATTATTACAAGATCCCTTTCAAAAAACGTTCTTAATTCTTTTTATATAAAGCATTTGATTTGATAGGGTAATAAATATTTTTTCATGCCTGGTACTAAGAGCAATAAGAGGGTAGAAATTAACATAATATTAAAGTTTAATGTAATTAATACATATAATATTGGAAATGACTTAAATGTTATGATAAATTTAATAATTTTAACTTTTTTTATTATTAGTTCAATTAGAATTTAGAAGTGACTAATATATAAGACTATAAAGAGTATTAACTAGGAGTGAAATTTTAAAGTTATTAAATTTTAATGTAGAATTAGAATTAATGAGATTTAATGGTTTTTGGTTTTAGTAAAACATGTTAGAAGAATCTTATAAATGGGATTGAAATAGTGGTTGTTCCTTATAGTTTACTCTCATAAAGAAAGCCGGTGGTGGTACTATTTACGACTTATAAATATTCTAATTATTATAGATTTTATTTTATATTCGTAATGTCACTTGTTAGACTCTTCATTATTGATTGAACCCAAATTGAGTTCTCCCCCTATTTCAAAACTATTGTAACTTAGAATTTCATATTATTATTTTTAATTTATTTTTTTTCCTTTATTATCTCTTAATTTTATATCAATAAAAAATGAGTAGTACAAAAGTGAGTGTAAGGACATTTTGATGAAATATAATTAGATGCAAAAATTAAAAAGAAATTAGGAATCGTTGGAAGCTTTTGTAACATTAATAAGACTATTCGCAAACCTTATCAAGAGACTGAGATTCCATTCACTTTTACACAGCATATCAGTGTGAGATAGATAGATTTAACACCTCACCAACTAAATTCGAATTTCCTCATAGAAAGCGGACGTCAGGTTGTGAAATGTGAGGGCTTAATTAATTACAGTGTTATTCTCTAAACAGAATAATTAGCTGTTGATATTTGGCTGGTGTGTTAGAGAGAGAATGGCCTTATTCCCTTTGACCAAAACCCTAATCTCTCTCTCTCTCGCTCTCACGCACTATGGTAGAAGCAATAGTACCCAATGGAAGGAAAAATTAGTTTCAATATTAATTTAATTTTTCTTTTTAATGACGTCTAATTAACCTTTAATAAGGCATTGTCTACTGGTATATCTGGACCACAAATGTGTCCATATTATCCCAAATTGCAAACTCAAGGATCAGGAACCTTATCAGTACTTTAACCCTAATTAACTTTTCACACTCATTCATTTCTGTATCAAATCTTTCATTAATTTTGCAATTGCCTGTTCAATTTGACACTTTTATTTTTGTCATCTTGCATACATGTGTGTGTGTGTGTGTATACACATGTTCTGACGAAAGACCAAAACACTAGGAGAAGTACATAGATGTTTTTTTTTTTTTAAGAAAAATTCAGATATCTTGTTTGGTCTAATTTTGTTTTAATTTCAATTTCCAACAGTTAATCATATTTAACACAAGAAATTTTCAATTTTTTAAAATAATCAATTTTATTTATTGGAATACATGGGATGTGAATGAAAAATTTTCTAGTTTTACAAAAAAAAATATGTGGGCAGACTAAGTATAACTTCTGTCAACTGACACTAATCTCTTTTAGTGCGTATTCAGAGGGAGAAAAAAATGTATCTCTTCAAACTAGGTTTGCTTTATACATGAGTTGGAAATAAAATGATAATTCAAATTAATATAGTTAATGACGTGAGGAAAGGTTAAGATGACCAAGTGGGCATGTGTGTGTGATTTGATTTAGAGACCT